AATCGGGTGGTTGTTTAAAAGTTTTTAAAATGGTATCACTCTTGGAAGAATTGAGAATGGAACTTAAAAAACAGAAAGAAGATGCACAAGAAGGAAGAGGTTCTTTTGGCTTTGTATTTCAATTTTTAGAAATGGAGATCCTGAACTATGCGAAACAAGAAGAAATGCCTGTAGAACAAGAAGGGCAGGACAAAGAAGAAGCCATGTTCAATGACCAAGTATTTCTATGTGGGGAAAAGAAAGAAAAGGTGGGGGGAAAGAGAGTGAAAAAATTAAGATCCGAAAAAACAACCCCCCAAAAGAATAGTTTGAAAAGTAATTATAACATTAGGAAGAAACAGAAGAGAGAATTATAGAAGGGAAAATCCGAATAGAGAGAGAAGGGGTCAAAAAGGGAAGGGAGAAGAAGAGGGAGAAGAGGGAAAGGAAAAGAAATTATATAGGACAGAACCAGGACATAGAGAAACAGGGAAAACATACAAGACACAGAGATAATGGGTGAAAACTTAATTGAAAGGGGGATTCTGCAAGGGTACATAAGATAATATTGTTATATTAGAAATAGAAATGAACTTTGAAAATATGAAACAAATGTGATTAAAATGATAGATAAAATACTCATTGTAATGTAATGGAATGTTTAATATATAAATGAAATAAAGAGAATGAGAGAATGAAATTAGGAAAGGAGGGGAACATTTTAATTATTATTAATCTGTTATAAAAATTTAAGTGAAGAGGAGTATGAAAAAAATATGAAAAAATTATGAAAATATTATAAGTGTTCCTAGAAGCATAATATCCTATTGAAAAGGAATGTTAAAGATGTCAAATATTATAACTAACATTAATGATAGAGCTGAATTGGAATAGAATAAGTATTTTATTTATTATTGCTATGTATATATTTTCTCTTTAAGAACTTAGTGCATATTTTAAGAATGTACCAAACAGAATTAGACTGGAAGTTATGTGTTATATTGAATGTTATAATTGTAAAAGCATAAATTGAAGTTTAAATAAGAGTTGAATGGATAAAAATTAAAAGATACAAAGGTGTCATACTCCAATTAGTAATTATAGGGGAAATTTTTGTTTAATGAGAAAAGAAAATATGAAATTGAAACAGGACAGACAAAGTATAAATATGTTGACTAGAAAGGTATTGAAACTTGGAAAAAGATATGTATATAAATTGAATTTAGAAAGGAATGAGACAATTAAAAGTAAGATTGAGAAAACTAAGGGAAGGGAAAAATTATTGAGAAAATGTTAAAATAGTAATAAGATATGGAATAGAACACAAAGATGAATATGAAATTGAATTTGTGTCTGTATGGAGAAGTCATAACCTGTGACCGTGCTATTCTCAAAAAAAAAAAAAAAGAAGAAGAAGAAGAAGAAGAAGAAAGAAATTTTACTTGTATTATGTTTTGTGAAAACCCAAATAAAATTTTATTTAAAAAAAAGAAATTAACAAACAAAGCTATTCCTACATTACATTATAGAATTTCCTCATTTCACTGAAAGTGAAACACTGGCAATCACATTCTCTGTTCAGAAAATTTTCATGTATTGATGTCAAGATCCCTTCTATATATTTAATTAATAACTCTGCAAATTACATTCAATTGTAATTCTCTAATGTAAGATATTTGTGAATAAAATGCCAGTACTTATTATAATTTTTCAATAACATAAGGATAAAACCTATCTATACATTATGAGATGTTATAATGTTCACAAATACAAAATGCTAAATTTGTTGTAGGTGATAATGTTATTTTGGGGTTTTTTAAAATAAGAAATTACAGAATATTCACTGAAGATGACAATCTAGTAACTAGATCTAGTAACTTCTGAATATTGTGAGGTTTGAAAAGGTGTAAAGCAAGACACTATTCACAAAAAATGATGATAAAAGTGGGAGTGCTCATTACTTTCGATGGTCAAAAGTAGTGCCATTAGGAGAAGATCATGAATGAGACTAGATGATCATGGAATCTCCCCTGCCAGAAAAATATATGTGAGATATGTGAATGATTAAAATTCATTCACATAGTCTCATACCCATTGGGAGAGGCATGTCCAACTCATGTCTTCCATTGTGAGAAGATAATGGTTTCCAAAATTCCATGGGAACTTATCCTATTTGTTAAATGCATATTTACACAAAGATAACAAATATCTGCAATTGCCATTATTTTCATAAAACCTTTGGAGTTTTAGGAAAACACCTTCTGAACAAGTCGCTCACATTTAAATGTCATCCATCCATTTATGGGTTTCTGTTGCTATTCTTTTAAAAAAGGCATCTAAGATGCACCTCTTCTGTTAAGCTTTTATTTATCTGTTTAAAATTTCTTAAATCTATGAAAAATATCACCAGATGTCAAATTAAGCTTGTTGTTTTGAAGGTCTCTAATATGCATAAAGTGATTAAAGTGAATATTTCCAAATGCTATTGGAAAATGAGTTTAGCTGGTTTAGTGTCCTTATATAAGACTCTGCCACTGCTGAGAGCAAAATATATTCTCTCCCTTAGCTCCTGGAGCTCAAATAGACTGCTGTTTTTCAATCTTGTTACAAGGTATTACCATTCAGAGCACTTGTTGGCAATCTCCCATTCTTTCCTTCTTCGGAGAGATTTGAAGGATTGGTCAATTCACTTGTCTTTTGTTGTTCTCAATGGTCAGTGTCTTTGTTCATTCATGGAGACATCTTCAACCAGCTATGAATCACACTGGAACCCATTCATAAGGAATATTTAGACTATCGATTATGAACTAAAATAAACACTTTCACCTTTTCATCAATATTTATTTATTATTTTTATTAAACTTATTTGCTGCCTATCTCACCACAAGGCAATTCTAGTTTAGAAATCTCAAGAGGTGCTTCTTCAAGAGGCAACTGGATTTTCTGGTTTTTCTTTGAAGATGTTTCACTTCCCATCCAAGAAGCTTCTTCACTCTGACTGGATGGTGGGGAATTGATGGATTTATACTCCTTACAGACAAGGTCATTTGCATTCTTTTAGCGAGTTGTTAAGGTTACCTGGAAGTTTATCTGTGTCATCAGGCTCACCTGAGTGGTGCAAATGGGTATGGGACATCTAGTCTAGAAAGAATAGAAAAACAGAAAATATTTTATATTCCCTTCTTTTCTTTTTCTTTCCATTAATAGCTTTTAGTTGTCTTCATAGCTCATACAATACAGTGCACATACCTATAGTTAATCTTGGCTGTAGAAATATCTTAATTATGTCTTTGGCTCTAAGAGGTAAAATCAGCATAATCAGAGGCTTATCAAGCCTGAGGTAAAGAGAGTAATTTTATGTAAATGAAAGGATGCTTATTCTCATATTAATGAGGACATTCAATATGTATATTTGTGATCAAGTTTTGAAATGTCTTTGTATTCTAAAAATGAAAAGATTGTGCACAGCATTTCTATATGGTTTAGGTTCAATGCTAAATGTAAGGTTTAAATTAATTTTATATTGATACTAGATGAATTACATGTTTTCTTTTTTATTAGTTTCTTTTGCTTTCTTGATGATCCATTTGTTTTACTGACTATAAAATGCATTTTTTTTTACTGTGCAAATTACTGTATTTTGTTCTAGCAGTTGTTTTTCATGAATTATTTGGTGAAGGCCCAAAACACTGAATAAATATTAAACTAAAATGTGGTGTGCTTTGATTTCTAAACAAACTTCATATAAAACTAGTACAATCTCAGATTACTCATGTTTTCTCTCCTTTTTTTTTGGGGGGGGGTTATCATTATTATTATTATTTCAATAATTCCATTAAAAATGCTTGAATATCTTAAGAAATGCAACTGTGTATATATTTTTCACAATATGAATAATACCATTGCATGTAGTTTTCTCTTAGCAAGTGGTTTATATTATCCAAAATATATACATTTTGGCTTGTTTTGTCACTGCAACTGCATTGCTGAAGTTTTAAAAGTGGAAATTTCATTGTGCATATATATTTCGAGCTCTGTCATGTATTGGGAAGTTCAAAACTGATTTATTCATGAACAGTTGTTCATCTATCCCTAGAAATTAGACAATATTGAAATCACAGTTTGGTAGAGCTTAGAGGAAAAGATTAAAGAATAATTTCTTAATGTGATTAAAATAAGCTTTTATTGAGATAATCCAGGATTATACAATCCTTTTTAAAAGTTGTGACTCAGAAGTGTGATAGTATTGTAAACAAAATGTAATATCATTATTTGCATTTGTAGCACTAGAACCAGTGAAGGCTAAGTCTAACAGTGATTTTTCAAGGCTTCCAATTAATGTATAGAATTCGAAGAATTCATGAAATTAATTTGCTAATATTGACTAATACTTTTCCAATCGATGCCCTGTTGAGTTACTTACAAAGTAAGGTTTCCTCCATTAGTCCATATTGCATAACTTTTACATGAGCTGCATAAAACTGTACAGTTGGAAGTCAGAGGAAAAGATTTAAGCTAATTATAGAATATATGCAGCTATAAAAAAAAAAAAGCCCAATTCAAAGTAACACTGATGGGATGAAAGAAGGCTTAAATCAAACTATTATAGTTTATGAATTTCAGCTACTAATTTATACCAAAAATTATTGCTTAATGTTCCTTTAATACAAGGCAGGAAATAGTTGCACTCCAATTATTGTTAGACTACAGAGACCATGGTCCCCAGACAATTGGACCCCTATACTTTCATACATAAATATTTACAGGTTATACCCTTACAAGAAAAACAATGTGAATAATGTGTGAAACAAGCTTATAACTGTCACCTAGCTGTTTATTATATGGTTCAAAGCTTTTTTTAAAAATCAATCCTGCAATTGAGTTGCAGAATTGTAAAAAAGTGTGTCCTCTTCTTTATCAACCCTCAAGTTAGAATAGGCTACTTTGTCAAAATTGCCATTCCACAATCCCTCAAAATCAAATAGACTAGATTAGAATTTTCCTTCATGTGGAGACTCCACATACTCTACACCAAGTATGCAAAATAACAGAATAACAGAGTTGGAAGGGATCTTGGAGGTCTCCTAGTCCAACCCCCTGCACAGGCTGGAAACCCTATACCATTTCAGACAAATGGTTGTCCAATCTCTTATTTAAAACTTCCAGTGTTGGAGCATTCACAACTTCTGGAGGCAAGTTGTTCCACTGATTAATTGCTCTAACTGTCAGGAAATTTCTTCTTAGTTCTAGGTTGCTTCTCTCCTTGATCGGTTTCCACCCATTGCTTCTTAATTTGCCCTCATGTGCTTTGGAGAATAACTTTACACTCTTCTTTGTGACAACCCATGAGGTATTGGAACACTGCTATAATGTCACCCCTTGTCCTTCTTTTCATTAAACTAGACATACCCAATTCCAGCAACCATTCTGTATATGTTTTAGCGTCCAGTCTCATAATCATCTTTGTTGCTTTTCTCCACACTCTTTCTAGAGTCTCAACATCTTTTTTACATCATGGCAATCAAAACTGGTTGCAATATTCCAAGTGTGGTCATACCAAGGCATTATAAATGATTCTCAATGATTTTTATGATTGCTTCTTTGCAATTCAAAAAAAAAAAATAAGCAAATAATTTATATTTAGTTATTTTTATTTTACTTAAAACATTGGTATAGCTGCCCGTCTTATAACAAACTCTGGGTGGCTCCCAGTCAAAAATTAAAATAATATAAAAACCACATTAAAACTATTAAAATCAAGCACATATAAACTAATTGCTGTCCTTCCCAAATTGCCTAAAACCTCCTCACCCATCCACTCATGTTAAAGATAAATAAAATAAACTGGTTATATTCCAACACTCAATTCACATCCTAAACTCCAGTTTCCTAGGAGCAGTGAATGAAGAAGAAAAACTAATCTAATTTTGCTACTAGAGAAGTTTTTAGCAAGTTTCCCCTTGAATTGGCAATAGCCATGTGACTAAGCCTATATCTGAGGGGGGAAAAAACAAGAAATAACAAGTTTCATTGGTGCAAACTGAGAAGTAGAACTGAAGTGTAATGGAGATGACATCAAGATTTACAACATTTATAGCATGTTTGTGTCCTGTCTGAGAACAATCTAGCATATATTTGTAGCAAAAACATGATTGAAGCTGAAGAAAAAACAAGTGGCCACACTTTGGCTCTTAAAAAAGGATCAAGCATTTTCAGGTGCAATAATAGAGGAAACACAATAGTGGGTGATATGGACAACAACTCTACAATAGGAAAAAAAATCAAATAAATGAACAAGTCAGTGAGCAAGAGTCTCCCTCCCTCCCTCCCTCCCTCCCTCCCCCCTCTCTCTCTCTCTCCTTTTCGGAAAGACGGAAAAAGACAGGATCTCTGAAGGTCAAAGAAAGCTTTCAGATTGTTGATATCTCACTAGTATAAGAATCAAATTTATGACAATCACATCTATTTAGCCTGTGTGCTGTCTGTCAGAAGCATATAATAAGAATGCAATAGAATAATTTACAAAACTTTCAAAAGCTATCTAAAATATCCATTCCTGTCTATCTATATTGGGACAAATGATGCCACAAACAGCAACTGCAAATGTATCACTTTAGGTGCTGAAGATCTAGAAAGGAAGCGAAAAACCTGGGCTTAGGTAGTGTTTTCATCTATCATTCAGGTTCTTGGAAATAGAATGGGAAGCAAAAGAAGAATTCAGTAGGTGAATGATGAGGTACGCAAACTGTGTTGATGGGACAGATTTGCTTTCCAGGATAATGGTATGCATTGTCTAAATGATGGAATGCTAGAACAAGATGGGTTACACATCTCACATGTTAGAAAAATGTGTTTGCCTTAGCATGGCAAACTTTACCAGGAGGTCTTTAAACTAAATCCTATGATGTTTGAGACAAAAAGCCTGAAGTAAGCCCTTTAATTAAAGATTTATGTGCTTTAGAAGGAAGTGGGAATGTTGGTATAATGGAGTTCTTCAACTACTCAATGAAAAATAGAAAGATTATTGTTTATAAAGTTCATGGTACACTTTTGTGGATACTAATATTCAGAGTATGTTGTTGCTGTTGTTCAGTCTCTAAGTCATGTCCAACTCTTTGCCACCCAATAGCCTGCCAGGTTCTCCTGGTCCCACTGTCTCCTTGACTTTGCCGAAATTCATATTAATTGTGTTGATGACACTATATAACCATCCCATCCTCTGCCATTCCCTTCTCCTTTTGCTTTCAATTTTTCCCAACATCAAGATATTTTCCAATGAGTCCTCTCTTCTCATTAGATGCACAAAGAATTTGAGCTTCAGCTCAGTGCAGTCTATCCTTCCAGAGAATATAATTTATTACCTTTAGGATTGATTGATCACCTTGCAGTCCAGTATGACACTGGACAACAGCCTTTTTCAGATTGGATTCTGGGATTCTAAGGTTCTAAAAAGGTTGCTAGGTATTCCATGAAATTCTGTGATATTAAAAAAAAATAATTTTAAAATGTTATGTGTTGGGCAATGCAGGTTGTAAAAGTAATTATTTCTATGCTGGGTTCCATGAGACCTTGAAAGTAGTCCAAGGGCTCCTGCAGAGCAAGTGTTGAGAAAGTGTTGTAGAGAATTCTGAATTAAAAGAACAGGGAGTATGAATAAAAACTATGTACCTGCTATCCATACTTAACTTGAGAAAATATATGATGTTTTATCAAAGCTACGATGCAGATCTTTCAAAAGGGACCAGAATACTAATATTTTGATCCATTGTCTTTTGAAAATTCTGAAGAACAAATGAAGAAAAAAATGAGTAGAAGAACACTAATATATTCTTCAAAAAGGAATAAATAAGGATCCAGGGATTCAGTCAGTTTATTATTGATTTCCCCTAGAAAAATCTAGAGCAAGTAGTAAACCTTCTATAAGAAACATAAAATAATAAGGTTATTATGAGAAGTCAGTATAGATTTGTTAAGAAGAAAACATAATATTACCTTATTGATCAGGAATTTCTTTAGTTTATGGGAATGCTAAAGAAAATATTAATTTTAGTTTCAGAAGAGCATTTGAAAAAGTTCCACATGACATGCTGATTACCTAGGTAAGTATGGCAATTAAACAAAAGAGAACTAGCATGGAAACCACAACCCAAGATGTTCATTAATGATTCTAAAGTAGAATGAGGTACCATGGGACTATCTCAAGGTTTAATCAAACTTTTCAATATTTTTATTTACAGATTGAATGATGAGGCTGGTGGAAATGTTTATCAGATTAGCAAAGGATACAAAATTGAGCTGGACGTAATAGTCTGGAAAACAGAAGTAGAATTCAAGATGATCTTGAGTGGTTACAGAAATGGTTGAAAATGAATGAAGGTTAAAAAAAAAACAAATTATATTTTTTTATTGAAGATACCTGATAAAATGCACAAACATATAATAAGGAAAATGTCCTTTGGCAATAGTACTTGTGAAAAGGATTTTTGAATAGAAGCTGATTAAAAACTGAATATGAGTCAGCAGTGTCTTATGGCGAGAAGAAAGGCAAATACAATTTTAGGCTTCATCTAGTGAACAATACTTTCAAAATTACAGGCAATAATAATTTCATTCACTTTAGTACTAGTCAGGCTAAGGGGATAGAATAACATTCTTCAAATACATGATAGGATGTCACCTGAAAGAAAAGTAAACCCTATTATTTATTGTCCAAAGTGCAAAACATGGAATACTGGATTTTGGTTATAGAAAAGTAGATTCCAACTGTCTGTTGAAACAAAAAAGAAAAGCAACAACTGTAAGAGCATGGATGTATGAGAATATTAACACTGATGATGCTACCTCATTTGGTAATGAAACATCTGCAAGAAAACAACCAAACTCAGAACACCAAGGACCACACAGATTGTAAGAGCAATTTGGCATTTACTGAATGCAATAATAAGCTCCTGTTCACTTTCATGGATGCGTGCAAAGAAAGTCTGGGTAGCACTCTACTATGATTGCCTAAATTTCAATTCCTGCATGGAGCAGAGTGTTACTTAGATTACATAATCTAAATGCTCCTTTCCAATTCTGCACTTCTATGTTGTGTGCATTTGTCTGTTCATAAGGGAAGGAAAAAAAAACCACGAGTGGCTCCTGTGAAGCAAAGTAAAAGAATGTCAAGCCAAAGTGCATGATTAAGCATGTGTTTCTGCAAATGGGAAGCATAACACAAGTTTCCTCAGAGCTGTAGCATTTTTAAAGACTACTTTATTTTGGTTACAATTACTTCACTGCTTAGTCATAAATAAATCATCTCAGCTCTCAAACTCAGGCAATATTTTAGAAACACAAGATGTTTGGGAGGGGTCTGCAAGATCTAATTTTCCTCTTGGGATAAAGTGTTAATGTCATGGCAGAGAAGGCCAGCAGAGGGATAGATATAGAAAGTGGGTTTTCCCTAAGAACAGTTGATATTTTATAGAAAGCAAATTCATATTGATGAACTAAATTCTAGGACAAGAGCAGTAAATGGCATTTGATTTACAAAGCAATACCAATTGTTCTTTAAAGCAAAAGTGGTGGGCCAGGGCTGGGGGCAGGTGGGGGCAGTGGCTGTTAATACACACATACATTCTCTGGTAAGTTGAATTTCATGATTTTTCAAAACAGTGTGCTAAATTGTTATCAGGGCGGGATGTGTGCAGCACATAGAGTCATGAAAAGAAGAAATCATATTTGTTTAAGATAATATGATCAGGCCTGCCATTTACAGTCTTTGAGATTTAAATGCAACTGCCACTGCTTTCATTGATTCAGTCTAATAAACATCAGCACCCTTTCGAAGATGAATAGACCATTTGAAACAATATTTTTAAGCAAAAGCAGAGCTCTTGAATTCTTCCATCAGTCTTTGGAACCCATTTCTAGCAGCCAGTAGATGTCATTCTCTCTCTATTTCAATGGAGAGATGTGCTGCTTTGATGCTATCTTTCACTGTAACAAGTGGAAGAGAAGAAATCATTTATTTGGCTTCCTCCTAATCAATGCACCAGTTTATATCTTTCCCTTCAGTAATGCAAGGTGTCAGAGTGTGAAATTGGAATTTTATGATAGACCTGGCAGCCAATATTCTATTGTCTTTTTTTGTCATTTCTTACATTTTATTAATTATTTTTGTTGGCTATACGGAGTCTTGATGTAATGCAAAACTTTATAGGAAGAAGGTTTACTGCAGTTTTATGTGATCTTTTGCATGACACATTACAGTATATTCCTAAATTGTTATGGATAAAAATACAAAGAAGTCCTAGATAAATCATAAATCTCAGCATTCTGCTCCAGACCTTCTGATAAACCAACATAAT